CGGGGCGGGTCGTTTAGAACAGTGAGGGGGTGTGACCCCGGCAGAGTGTGCGAGGGTTGAAAGGTGGTAAAAACCAACAACAAACGAATGCGAAACAAGTAGAGTGGGAAAAGAGTATTTCCACTTGTTGGCTGGCAGTTGTTAACCGCATTTTGTTAAATTTTTGTTACATCTGTGTTATGGGAGCAAAGCAGACTATTGAAATATCAGAAATGACTGTTAGAACTTGATGAACATAGTATATCCAGTTGTTTTTGTTCTATGGACGATTTTGGTACAATGCGTTAGTAGTGAGCTGTAATGTCTATTGTAAATTCGATTAGGTCCCGCAGGAACGTCGTAGATTTACGAACGACTTCTTAACGTGTCGTAGGCCAGAGAAAAAACTGAAGGGGAGAAAAGGCTTTTGGTGTTTTTTGTTCTTTTTGTTTATCAGGTCTGCTGGGTCTCATCAATTTTCCTTTCAGTCTCCCGTTGTGTCCCCTACGGGGTGCTCATCCACTACAATTATACTTGGGGAGGGGTTCGCTACAGGGGAAGGTGCCTGAAGGAAAGGGGAGTGTGGGGAAAGGGAGGAGGAAGGGGAAGAGGGTGGAAGGGGAAGCACATTTGTTGTACCGTGAAACTGTGTAATGTACTTGGGGTGGCGCTTCGGTGCCATTCCGCGCACGTTTCTGAACTACTTCTTCTTCTTCTTCTTCTTCTTCTTCTTCTTCTTCTTCTTCTTCTTTTTCTTCTTATTCTCAGCCGTCTGCTATCAGCTCCTGCGAGGCCAAGGGACATCTCTGCCGTCCGCCACTCTGATATTGCCCAGCCCACCCAGGTTCGATTCATAATGGTGTCCATGTCCATGCAGCGTCCTCTATTCCATTTGCATATCATTTGAGCGTTTGAGCGCATTCCTTTTCTCTCTCCCTTCCTCGCTCTCGCTCTGCCCATGACTACCGCTCTCTCGATTTTAATTTCCCGCCGATGAGCTAATGGGTTGGCGTTGGTGACGCCCCTCGCTCGCCCCATGATGTGGCCCAATCACAACGCGCATCTGGTCACCCTACTACAGTGGGGCGGGCTGGAGGGAGGAGGGGTGGGGTCGGCATCCTGATTAGGTCCCACCAAAGGGAGGGGAGGAGCGAGAGAAAGAGAGAGAGAGAGAGAGAGAGAGAGAGAGAGAGAGAGAGAGAGAAAGAGAGAGGGAGAGAGAGAAGGGAAGGGGGGCAG